CGCTCTTGCGTCGTCGTCGTCGTCGTCGCCGTCCTCCCTCCTCCCGCGTCGTCGTCGTCGTCGTCGCCTACGTCGTCCTCTGTCGTTCCTCGTGTTCGTCGTCGTCGTCCTGGTTGGCGTCGTGGTCGTTTCCGTCGTCGTTGTTGCCGTGGTCGTCCTTCCTCCTCCTCCCTCGTCGTCGTCGTCGTCGTCGGTCGTCGGCGTCTCGTCGTCGTCTCGTCGTCGTCCTTCCTATTTCGTCGCCGTCGTCGTCGTCGCCGTTGTCGTCGTCGTCTTCCCTCCTCCCTCGTCGTTGTCGTCGTCGGCGCCGCCGTCCTTCCTCCTTCTTCGTCGTTCGCGTCGTCGCCGTCCTCCCTCCTCCCTCGTCATTGTCGTCGTTGTCGTCGTTGTCGCCATCGTCGTCCTTACTCCACCCCCCGTCGTCGTCTTCGTTGGCGACGTCGTCGTCGTCTTCGTCGTCGTCGGCGTCGGCGTCGTCGTCGTCGTCGAAGTCGTCGGAGACGTCGCCGGTGTCGCCGTAGTCGCCGTCGTCGTCGTCGTCACCGTCGGCGGCGACGTTGACGTCGTCGTCGTCGTCGTCGGTGTCGTCGTTGTCGTCGTCGAAGTCGTTGGAGACGTCGTCGGTGTCGTCGTAGTCGGTGTCGGCGGCGCCGTCGTCGTCGTTGTCGCTGTCGGCGTCGGTGTCGGTATCGTGGCCAAGTGTCATGTGGTACGTACCGTCGCGGTCTTGTCTTAAGAGGACTTGCGACCAAGTTGCGGGTGGGAGGGTGAGATGTTTGCACGAGCAGCGGAGAGGACAGCTTCAAGACGGTCAAATATCAAATTGGACCACGTAGGTTGCTCCACGGAAGCTGCACGCCCTAGATTGCACAACATATGTTGAAACACATAAATTGCACCACGTCGGTTATCCCTTTCTAAAAACAGAATAGACTCTACCCCCCCCCGGGCGTTATCCGTTCCCCTTTCGGGTATGTAAATCATATATAAGTCACAGTCTGACCACATGTCCATCCTAAACATGAAACTACAATATCCCAGGGGGGCTGGTAACAATCCCCCTGAGGTTTCCTGGTAAAAAAGAAAACGATACGCGGGGACATCTGTTGTTCGAACATAACAATTGTTCACAAATCCCTTGCAAAAAAACGGGACGCGAAGTGCACACGCGCGCGTCGCCGCGCGCGCATGCCGAAATCCTCCAAAAACCTTCGGGGACGGACGGATTTCGCAGTCGAGTTTCCAAAACAAATATACAAAAGCACAGGGTTTCGCAACACTGATTCGCTAAACAAAACTTCCGCGCGAGATCTTGCGAAACCTTAAGAAAACCCATAGCTTTTCGAGATTTTCGCAAAATGCTACCAAACGGGCTTCGCGCGCGCATGTCGAAATATGTCGAACGCCCTGGCGCGTGTGCCGTCGCGAGAATCCTCTGCAAGAAATGGGACGAAGTGCAGACGCACGCGTCGTCGCGCGCGTATGCCGAAATCCTTCAGAACCCATCGGCTTCGGAAGGATTTCAACATCGTGTGTCCAAAAAACCTACAAAACCACAAGGTTTCGCAACACGGAGTTTCAACAAAAGCGTGCGCGCGCGCTCTTGCGTCGTCGTCGTCGTCGCCGTCCTCCCTCCTCCCGCGTCGTCGTCGTCGTCGCCTACGTCGTCCTCTGTCGTTCCTCGTGTTCGTCGCCGTCGTCCTGGTTGGCGTCGTGGTCGTTTCCGTCGTCGTTGTCGCCGTGGTCGTCCTTCCTCCTCCTCTCTCGTCGTCGTCGTCGTCCGTCGTCGGCGTCTCGTCGTCGTCCCTCCTATTTCGTCGCCTTCGTCGTCGTCGTCGTCGTCGTTGTCGTCGTCGTCTTCCCTCCTCCCTCGTCGTTGTCGTCGTCGGCGTCGCCGTCCTTCCTCCTTCTTCGTCGTTCGCGTCGTCGCCGTCCTCCCTCCTCCCTCGTCGTTGTCGTCGTGTCGTCGTTGTCGCCGTCGTCGTCCTCCCTCCTCCTTCGTCGTCGTCTTCGTTGGCGGCGTCGTCGTCGTTTTCGTCGTCGTCGTCGGCGTCGGCGTCGTCGTCGCCTTCGTCGTCGTCGACGTCGGCGTCGTCGTCGTCGCCGCCGTCGTCGTCGTCGTCGGCGTCGTTGACGTCGTCGTCGTCATCATCGGTGTCTTCGTTGTCGTCGTCGTCGGCGTCGTCATCGTCGTCGTCGTTGTCATCGTCGTCGTCGGCGTCGGCGTCGTCGTCGTCGTCGTCGGTGTCGTCGTCGTCGTCGTTGTCGGCGTCGTCGAAGTCGTTTGGGACGTCGTCGGTGTCGTCGTACTCGTTGTCGGCGGCGTTGTCGTCGTTGTCGCTGTCGTCGTCGGCGCCGCTGTCGCTGCCAAGTGCCATTTGGTACCCACCGTCACGGTCTTCAGAGATTTTGCAAACCAAGTTGCGGGTGGGTGGGTGGGATGTTTGCGCGAGCAGTGGAGTTGACAACTTCAAGTTCGGCATGTGAATTCTCCTTTCTAAAAGATTAATAGATTCTACCCCCCCCCGGACTTATCGGTCCCCCCTGGGATAACGCGAGTTCATACATATTCTGCACACTCGTCCATCCTAAAGATGAAATCATACCATCCCAGCCAAACCGGGTTCCCCCCCCTGAGGTTCCATTGTGAAACACACTATGCGGTGACATTTGTTGCTCTAACATAAGACTTGTTCGCGAACCACTTGCAAAAAGAATGACGAAGTGCACACGCGCGCGTCGTCGCGCGCGCATGCCGAAATCCTTCAAAAACCTTCGCGCCCTGAGAAACTTCAAAATTGAATTTCCGAAAAACATGCAAAAACACAAGATTTCGCAACACTGGTTTGCTAAAGAAGCTTCCGCGCGAGCTCTTGCGAAACCTTGAGAAAACCCATAGCTTTTTCGAGAATTTCGCAAAATGCTACCAAACGGGCTTCGCGCGCGCATGTTTAAATCTGTCGAACGCCCTTGCGCGTGTGCCGTCGCGAGAATCCTCTGCAAGAAATGGGACGAAGTGCAGACGCGCGCGAAGTCCCGCGCGTATGCCGAAATCCTTCGAAACCCATCGGCTTCGGAAGGATTTCAACATCGTGTGCCCCAAAACCTACAAAAACACAAGGTCTCGCAACACGGATTTTCAACAAAAGCGTGCGCGCGCGCTCTTGCGTCGTCGTCGTCGTCGTCGTCCTCTCTCCTCTCTCGTCGTCGTCGTCGTCGTCGTCGTCGTCGTCGCCGTCGTGGTCTTCTGTCTTTCCTCGTCGTCGTCGTCGTCGTCGTCGTCTTGGCGTCGTCGTCGCTTCCGTCGTCGTTGTCGCCGTGGTCGTCCTTCCTCCCTCGTCGTCTTCGTCGGCGTCTCGTCGTTGTCCCTCCTATTTCGTCGCCGTTGTCGTCGTCGTCGTCGTCGTCGTCGTCGTCGTGGTCTTCACTCCTCCCTCGTCGTTATCCTCCTCCCTCGTCGTCGTCGTCGTCCGTCGTCGGCGTCTCGTCGTCGTCCCTCCTATTTCGTCGCCGTCGTCGTCTTCGTCGTCGTTGTCGTCGTCGTCGTCTTCCGTCTTCCCTCCTCCCTCGTCGTCTTCGTCGTCGGCGTCGCCGTCCTTCCTCCTTCTTTGTCGTTCGCGTCGTCGCCGTCTTCCCTCCTCCATCGTCGTTGTCGTCGTTGTCGCCGTCGTCGTTTTTTCTTCTCCCTCGTCGTCGTCTCCGTTGGCGACGTCGTCGTCGTCGTCTTCGTCGTCGTCGTCGTCGGCGTCGTCATCCTCTTCGTCGACGTCGACGTCGGCGGTGTCGTCGTAGTCGGTGTCTGCGGCGCCGTCGTCGTCGTTGTCGCTGTCGTCGTCGGTGTCGTGGCCAAGCGTCATGTGGTTCCTACCGTCCTTGTTTCAAGAAGTCTTGCGACCAAGTTGCGGGTGGGAGGGTGGGATGTTTGCACGAGCAGTAGAGAGGACAGCTTCAAGACGGTCAAAGCGAATTGCACCACACAGATTCCACAACAAACATTCTAGAAACACATGTTGTTTTACATTATGGCCTCGCAGAGCGAATGTTTTTGGAACCACGGCCTCGAAGTACCATCGGGACATCCATCGGGACAACCATCAGGAAAACAATCAGGACAACCATCGAGACAACCATCGGAATAGCCATCGTGACAACCATCGGGTCAAACATCGGGACAAGCATAGGGACAACAATCGGGACACCCATAGGGACAACCACTGGGACAAATCTCGAAACAACCATCGGGATAACGATCGGGACAACCATAGGGACAACCATCGGGACACCCATCGGAAAAACCACTGGGACAAGCAGCGTGACAAACATCGGGATAACCATGGGGACATTTAGCGCGACAGCCATAGGGAAAACCATCGGGACAACCATCGGGACATCCATCGAGATAACAACTGGGACACCCATCGAGACGACCATCGGGACAACCATCGTCGGAACGTCCATCCGGACAACCGTCGGGACAACAACCAGGAGCACCCAACCAGGCCCAACCAGGACAACCATCGGGACAACCATCGGGACAACCATCGGGGCAACATCGGGACAACCGTTGGGACAACCATCGGGACAACCATCGGGACAACCATCGAGACAACCACTAGGACACCCATCGGGGCAACCATCTGGACAACCATCGTCGGGACACCCATCCGGACAATCGCCGGGATAACTACCAGGAACACCCAACCAGGACAACCATCGGGACAACCATCGGAACAACCATCGGGGCAACCATCGGGACAACTATCAGGGCAACCTTTGGGACTACCATAGTCGGGACATCCGTCGGGACATCCATCGGGACAAGCACCATGATGTATCCCTCCAATTGATGCTCAACCAAATGGCGCACCCTTCCCGTGTGACCTTAAGGGGGCGCATCCCTTCCGAGAAAGTCCCCCCCTCTGCACTCGAGAAGGCCGCCTCCCTCGCTCGGACCCCCACGCGGTCGCACTCGAATGGAGATCTTTCGACTCCCCCGCCGCCTCTCGCGCCAGAGGCTGCCCGCCAGCGGGCGCACGGTGGCCGTCAAGACCTTCGCCGCCGCGGCGGCGTCGCCGCCGCCGCCGCCCGCCTTCCACGGCTTGTTGGCGAGGCGCCGGCGGCGAGGCGCAGGCGGCCCGGGAGTGCGGCCCTCGCAGCCCAGTTCGTGCCACAGCGCTGCGCCTGCCGGAGCATTTCTTTGTGTGTGCGCGCGCGGGAACGGTAGTGCATACATCTTCGACGCCTCGGCGGCGCTCCGAGCGGCAAGCGCGGGTAGCACAGGGGGGCTTGAAGCCCCTCCCGGGCCCTCCCAGACTGACGGGAGCCTGGGCCCTGCCAAACTGACGGGAAAAACCGCGCGATCCCCCCAAAAAAGACGACTCTGGCGTTCGGGGGTGGTGGGTATCGGCCGACGTTTCCGCCCGCGTCCGGGTCGGAAAAGCACGCGGCAGGTTTCTGTCATGACGGCGTGGGTGCTGGTGTCTGTCACTGCGTGAATATTTCAGTCCTTACCGGACTCCGCTGTTGGGATCCTCTGGTGCCTTCACTCTTGCAACTCGCGCCCGCTCTGCCGCTGCGCACGCGCGTGCGTATGTGGGAGGGGGGGGCAGGCGAGTGCAAGGGTCTCAGAGAGGATACAGCCGCGAAGGCTGGCAGGTGGTGCCCGTAGGCCTTAAGGACCACACGCGCTGGTTATCATGGAAGTGGAGGTGCTCACAAGTCCTGCAGTAACCAGCCCTGGGAGTGTTCAGAGGCACTGTGATGGTCGTAGGCGCTGTGGTGGAAGGTCCGCGGCGGCCGCAAAAGTTGCGGTGCTCACAGGCACAGTGGCGCTCGGAGGCGCTGTAGCGCTCACGAATGGCGCCAGCAGGCACAGAGGTGCTTAGACGCACTGCAGTGTACAGGCACCATGGTGACCACACGCGCGGTGGTGACGATATGCCCCTTTGTGCTCCCAGGCATTAATGGCTTGACCAATACCTGTCCTGGGCCTCTCCCAACGGTCTACCCTGCTCAGTTTTCCGAGCCGCGCCCAGCCGTGGCGACGAGAGGCCCCGAAAGGCCTGGAACGTCTCTGGAGTTCCAGGCCCGAAGGTCCCCCAGCCAGTGGGGCCCAGAGGTCCACTTGCAGGAACCTCTCCTCTCCGGAGGCCCCCGCGAAGCACCTCGATCCAGAAAGAGCACATGTCCCGATCGAGATCTCGATCCTCCCGCCTCCCATCAGCGACGCGCACAAGGGAGAGGGGCGAGAGGGGCGGCCCTCCGAGTGAGGCGGGGGGGGCTCCTGGAAGGCGGGAGCCTACATCCAAGAAGGGCCCAGAGGCTTCCGAGAAGCCCCGCCCCCGAAGAAATCCCCGTGACCCGTGGCCTTCCACGCCGGCAGCCCGCCCTCGGGCCACCCACCCCCCTGTGCGCGCAGCCGGCCTCCCCTCGAGCGTCCACCAGGAACGAAACCGCCGCGGCGCCTGCGGCGCGCGACGAGAGTGGCCCTGCCTCCGCCGCCTCGGCGGCGGGCGCGGGCGAGACGGCCGCGGTGGCAGCCTCCTCCTCCGCCTCCGACGCGCCCCGCTGCGGGGCGCAGAACGGCCACGCGGTCGTGGGCGCGCCGGCCGCGGACGCGCCGGCCGCGGTGGCAGCCAGCCGCTCCTCCCCCGCCTCGAGGACACGCAAGAGTGACCCCAGGCAAGAGTGACCCCAGGCAAGAGTGACCAAATTCACGCGTGGCCCTGGGGGGCCGCGGGCAGGCCGAATCCAAGCGCGCGGGCCAGAGCGGGACCCCTGGGAGCCCACGCCGAAGGTCACTGCGGCGAAAGATCACTCTCACGTATGCCCATCCGCCTCCGACGCGCCCTGCTGCGGGGCGCAGAACGGCCACGCGGGCGCCGGCATCGGGAAGTAGACCTCACGGCGCCCCGGCGCCAGCCGCGCGGCAAGCAGGGAGGATCACGACGAAAACAAGGACGGGGATTACAAGGATGACGGAAGCAACCACGACGACAACGACGACAACGACGACGCCGACGACGACGACGACGCGTCGGACGAGAACGAGGGGGAGGGAAGAGGAGGAGGAGAAGGAGGAGGAGGAGGAGGAGGAGGAGAAGGATGATGAGGAGGAGGAGGAGGGGAGCCGCGATCGCCCGATCCCGCACCCATTTGCCCCACAGGGGGGCCGAGGCGGCGGCCAGCGCGGCCTTCACAGGCCACTCAGACCCGCAAATTTCGACACCAGCTCTCATCGCGACCGACCCGGGCCGCGACCACCACTACTACTACAACACGCAGCGGTGCCGCAGTCCCGCCTGGCAGAGGAGACTTCGGCGGCAACGGGCTGACGCCCGCTTTCTACTACGGCTTCACGCAGCGCGGAAGCGACTTCAAGCATATCTCGGCGCGCAGCAATCACCGCGCCACCCACCACGACATCCACCACACACTCCAGTAACGGTAGCACCGTGCAAACGGTAGCACGGTGGCAATCAACATTGAACCGTACTCCGAACACGAGACCAGACCACCTACGCGATCTGCTACACCTGCGATCGGCGCAGGTTTAGACAAGTGGAGGAACGACACATGGAAAGCACCACGGGCAGCCCAGCACTCCGACGCCTACTGGAACAAAGGCACTAACGGCAAAGGCAACGGCAAGAACGGCGAAGGATAGGGCAGCTTCCCCAAGCCGTACGACGACCACATCGACAACAACCACATCCAGCAGGGAGGCAAGCAGAAAGACAATAAGGGTAAGTTGAAGCATCAGTCCCAACAGAAGAAGGACTCCCCTGTCAAGAAGAAGGAGCGGGAGGACAACCAGAACTACAACGACCACATCGCCAGGACCATCGACAACGTCATGCCCATGCGCAAGGTCTGCGCTACCAGAAAGCCCGACTTGGAGACACCACCAAACGACCCCAAGCTCAGAGAAGAGTGGAAGAAGCTCCAGGTCACAGAGCAACAGTAGGCAGCCGCGGCCATCACCAAGAACAGCGCTGCTGGGCTCCAGACCACTGACGCCGAGACCCGCATCGCCTTCGTCAAAGCCACGATCATCAGCAGCATGCCGCTCGAACGACAAGCCAAAAAAAACGAACGCACCAAGGAGGTCATGGAGGACAACTTTGAGCACACCGAGGTGCACCACGAGGAGGTGGGGTTCGACCTGAACATGCTGAATAGGAAAATCGCCGAACTCCACTCCATCAGGAGGGACATCCAGAGACTACGCCTAAAATAACACAGGTTCCGCCGACGACGAGGCGGACCCATCCCACAAAGCCGGATAATCGAGAAGGGCGGCACCACTGGCTCTGTGGAGACAGACAAGGGTCGGGAAGTCAACCGAGGGATAGGACACGACGTTCAGATCAACGAGAAGGAGACCAAGGCAAAGTTCGACACCCTCAACAAGACAGACAACAAGCTGGAAACCGCACGTGAAAGACGCAGAACGAGCACAACAGAGACGAAAGGAGGGGTTCGCCGCCGCAATGACCACACACGATTAGAAGCCAAACTCCACGGCGCCGAGGCAGAAACGGGAAGCATCAGGAAGGCCAACCTCGACCTGCAGAAAAACAGACTACCACCAGAGAGGAGGACATACATCTTGGACATCGAGAACCAACTGAAGAAGGCACAGCACCAGCTCAAGCACCACGAGCACGAACCCAACGCCATGCAGCAACATATCCAACTGGCAGAGGAGACAGCAGCCGAAGGGGACGCTTTGAAGGAGGCAGAGCACCGCATTTCGACAATGGAGGCCCATAGATTCAACAAATTTAACGAGCAAGCAGAGCTCCGCAAGCACAGGGTCAGCACCGACAACATGCTCTGCAAGCCACACGTCGAAATGCAAGCCCGTGAAAGACGCATGGAGGCCGCTTTCCAACAACAAGTCACTGAGATCGAGACGCAGGTGCGAACCGGAGACGCCGAACAAGCCCAACAACATGAACAACAATTGAGCATGGCAATCACGTGAATTGACAAGCACCAGGAGCAGGCACTGCAACATGCAGCTCAAGCAGAAGGTCAACTCCAACTCCTTCTACAGCGAGCAGAGACCCGCTGCTGCCAGCAAAGCAAAGCCGACCCGGCGGACATCGACATGTACAAGCAAAAAGAAGCAACATGGAGGGAATAGAATGGCACCCGTCAGAAACGTACTAAGGAGGCCCACCAGGAGTACTTCTACGCCCAGCAAGCCGCCGCTCATTCACGACAGCGCCTGTCACAAGCCGACACGCTCGACAAGCTCGAAAAGGCGCTGCCTTCCGTGACGCAGCGAACAGAGGCCTCCACGAGTCTCACCATGTCGGATGTGCTCAGATGTCTAGGTCTGAGGCGATGTGTTAGGGGGGGATTGGCAGGGCGACCGTGTCAAACCATCCCCCGGCCTTCGGTGCGTCCCCCTCGGCTTCGCCTTCTCTCTCCTCCCCTCCCCCTCTCTCCTTCCCTCCGCTCCCTCCTCGTGGGGTGCGTGGGCCAGGAGGTCGGTTTGGCGGGCGCGCTGTTGATTCCCCAGTTGCCGAGCGGCCGCGTCAGGGGCAACGCTCCCCTCTGGGGGTACGGCTAACTCACGCCCTCCTGCGCGAGGGCGCATCCTATTATATTTTCGCGAGGGGATGGAACTTGTGCCGTCCTGTTGGGGTGCTGGCGGGCGGTGCCACAGTCTGGTAATTCCTCTCTTATTCATCGGATGCAGATTGGGGGGGCGGGACTACTCAAACCTCTCCGGATCCCATGCCGGAAAGAGCGGTTGGGGCTCCGGCCCTTTCCCCCTCGGCATCTGGGGGGCAGGCCGGGGATGCCCTTGGTCCATGAGATCCGCCATCTGACGTTACATGTTGTTGGGTCTGATTGACTTTGTGCCCATATTGGACCCTATACAGTCGGTTGTGGCAGTTCGGAGAATCAGGTGCGAGCATCGCCGCTCGCGCTGGCAAACCAACAACCAAAGTAGGATGTGGTGTGATGCCTCAGTGGTTCTGTGCCGGCGTGTCTCATAAGATTCGTTCGTGGCTCCTGTGCACAGACACGCAGAAATAATGAAGCGCGGTTCCTACCACGTATTGTGCTTAAGTTGGGGCATAACGGTGTCACGGCCTGTGCTCTTCCCGCGGCTCCCCCCTCCCCGGTTCCAGCGTTGTGGACAATCCGTCTCGGGCGGTCGTATAGCCGCGCTGCCGGGCCGAGGGCCAAAGCGACTACGATGGCCTCTACGACGGACCAAGGAGCAAACACTCTGTTGCGCCCGGCACCGGATCCCTTCAGCTGCCTTCTCCCCAAACCCCCACGCAGCGGGGGACGCTCCTGGAACACAGAGCGACAGGCGGGCTGGGTCGTGAGGGTGGCCGAAGCGGAGCAGTCATCAATTACCCGAGACAGCAGCTGTTGAGCTGTGCTTTGGGGTGGGTGTTGGGATCGTTGGCGCTGTCTGGGGTCTCGCTCGGGCCAGTGGCTCTGCTTCGTCCACTTCCGTGGGGGTTTTCTTTCCTCAATCTCTCGGTCTGGAGTCCGGTGCGCCGTCTCGAAGGTTTTTCCTTCGCGCTGGGGTGCAATATAATTCTTCTCCGTCGACTTCCACTTCCGGCCCGGGAGCCGTTCGCGGCCGACAATCCGGAGGACGAGGACGAGGACGAGGCGCTACCGACCGAGATCTCCAGCGACAACGAGGCGATCGTGACCTTCATCCAGCAGCCAGTCGAGCCAATGCCCTCGCAAGGTTGGACTCAAGGTGCTGCGCAACCTACTCAGACACAAACCGACTGGAGCCAGGGAGGCCGACAACATGACTACTACTGTGGCCAGCCATGTACAGTGCGACCACCTGGGCGTTCAACTGCCAGCCGGACAGCAACAACACGGCCCACAGCACCAGCTTGATTCAACGACTCCGACACGCAGCACGCACCCGCCGAACCTGCCACCTGGGAGCCAAGAGTGCGACACTCCGCCCCCAGCTCCACCCAATGCATGGACACCGACATCAATACCACCAGGACAACGAGATCGTCGTGACACCGACACCGAGACCGACCTGGCATCATCAGTTCCAGTTCAGGCTCAGGCGAAGAAAGCCAGAGACGTCGCAATCCTGGACACGCCATCGCCACCGAAGAAGAGGGACGATGACCTCACGACCACCGAAGAGACGAGCAGGCAGGCGCTATCACCCCACAGGGTCTTCCTTGGCACACCAGAGAGAGGGGCATCTCCACCACCCGAACGCAAGCAAGCAGCCTAAAGAACGAGAGGCTCGAGCGCCAGGAGGACGAGGAGAGCCACCATCGACCCCAGCGCCCCGATGCAGACCGTCCCATTCCCGGCGGAAGCACCATCCAGCGACGAGGCGGCTCATCTTACCGGAGCCGCATCCTCAGCTGGGTACCGACAACGACGCCGCAGCGTGCGACTACTTAAAGCTCACGCCGCTGCCGACGGTGAGTCTGGAGCACCAAGCGACCACGGCGTACACCCCTACTGGCTAACCCCACCAAAAAGCGGCACGTAACTCGCAAACGTTCCACCCGACACAACCTGCCGGCGTAATCAAATCAGAGGCGCCCCACGGTCCCAACTCCCAGACCACCTCGGGAACTACACGGCCGAATACCTGGCACGCATCACCACCGCAAGAGAGTTCGACACAAGGTGCGAATTCCAATTGGGGCCACCGTCAAACGACAAACCACAATGGCCGCCGATCGGTAACACTGAGTGGCATCAACCAGCCGACGGCGATGTCGAGACTGACATGACATTGGCACGAACAGCCCAACCAAGATCATCCCAGTCGAGGTCTCCATGGCGCGACGGCCTCTACCACGGGAAGCACCTCACTGGATTGAACCCGAGAGCGTCCTCGTGCACGGATGTGTGCGGGTCATGACGGCGGACATCGGCAACCTCATGTCACGGCTTGAAAACGACCTCCGACAAGCGGCACGCGAGGCCCTCACGGCAAAGCGGAACAAACACCACAACAGTACCAGCGACGACCACAAAGTAGTGCTGGACCTCATGGGGTTTGTACCGCACAGAATGACCATCGAGATCATACCATGGACGGTAGAGAGAAACCAGATCGTCAAGCGAAAACTATAAACGCCCACCCCAACGGAGTACCAACCCCAACCCCCATGCGCCTCTAAACAGACGCCTTACCATCAACCTAGCGCCGCAGACCCTAGCCCATTACGGTCCCCCGCCGCCAACCGCCCCACCACCACCAGCATACCCACCAGATCACCGAAGGTGGACCCCGAGCAACATGGCAACGAAGCTGCGGGAGCTGGACATCCGCCCAAGCTTGCCATTCAACCAGACGCACCAGCCTATATGATATGCCCATATCCGTGGATCGTCTACCCCGACAAAATCCCGAGGCACTTCGTCAACCAGGTCCACTACTTCAACTCCGAAACCCGTGAATCATCCTGGACCGATCCCAAGAACTCCCTACTCTTACCCAGATTGGAAGAGGGTCGTTTCGAGGACCAACGACGAATTCGTCTATAACGAGCAGGGGATTACGTGCAAAGCCTGCCTCTCGCACCACGCCAATCAAGACAACCTCCAGCCCCACCGAAACCAAGGACGCCATCGCCACCCGCACCATCAGTCTACATCGCCATCTCCGCCATCGACGAGCGGGTGACCAAATACAACGACGGCGACGGCATCGACAAGAGACAACTCGACGCTATTAACACAAATGTGTCCTGGGCATGACCACAAGTGAGCTCCTGGACTGCCTGAAAAGAAACCAAAATATTGGGGGTCTACATTACAGAAAGAATGAAGAAGTTCTTCATGACTTCTTGAATGTAGGCCCCAACCTCAGAGTTTCCAATCACTTCTTGACTGTAGGCCCCCAACCAGCACAACAGCATACTCCACGTGGAATGCATCGTCAAGATCATCTCAGAGATCCAGACGGCGAGTAGTCCCCCGGCACCAGGCCACTCAGACACACATCGGGCACAACCTTTTACAACCGAACCGCCAGAACCAACACACCACACCGCGACGCCGACGCCAACGCAGCACGAACCTGCAGCGGAAGCGAGCCGCATCCAGCAAGGCACCCACTACGTCAACCTGATCGCTGGCGCATCAGCGTATGCCCCGTCGGCACATACTTCAACTCAGCACAACCATCCGATGGCTAACGACGCGCAAAGCTATGTCCACCCAGCCGATCCAATAAGTGCGCTGGCTTTCCCCACGGCTACAGGAGCGGGCCCAACAAAGGAGGGGCACCACAAGGCACCACCGCCACACGACCAGCTCTAGCAGGCAGTTCAAGCTAAGGACCCACCGCCACGCCACGACAATGCTGGCACCCCCACCATCACAGACCAACTGGTCGACGACAGGAAGCTCGGTCCAAGAACCAAGCAGTTCAACCCCATACCAACTGTTCAGCAAGTGCCCAGCAAGCCAGCCCCAAAGCCGACTTCGCCTACACGCAAGGGGTAACGTCGACGCGTCATACGAGCCAAGCCCACGTGCGAGGACGACCAGGCCAATAGCCACCGCAGCCATACACACAGTCTATACGAGGGGGTCCAGACACCAGTCGAGGAGCAACCCAGTGGCATTCGGGCTGGGGCCTCTATGCCCGACATCCAGCACGACGGAATCGGCAGGCTTGTCGATACCATCAGCAGCATCCACTACGACCCGAACACGCCGCACTACAAAATACACACCCGCAAGATCATCAAGGACTGCATCGAGCATCAACAACCCAGAGGCGCGCTGCGGGCCCATATCTCATCGACCGCGTCGAGCACGACCAGATCCTGCGATACCTCCACGACGCCCTGAGCAAAAGCTTCGGAGAACCAGTCGGTCGCCGCGTCGCGGCCTTGAAAATGGTCTGCAACCAGACGATGCTAGTGCGCTTCCTCGTCCACCAGCTGTGCAGCATCTCGGAGTACCCAGTGGCTGAGGACCGCACTGGCATACATTACACAGAACCAGACGCGACGTGAATGCGACGGCATTCACAGTTACATCAGGCTTGTCGTGTGCTACTAACTGACAAGCACACAAGCGTTGTTCACCACACATTCTTTCGAGAAGGGCATCTAGAGAGACATGATTTACTGGATGGACCTGCTGCTACATCACAACGGCGACAGCAGCTCAAAAGGAACCAAATGACCGAGAACCTGACCACCAGGGATCCACCACCAGGCCCCGCGCCGGGCACCAGCCACCAGGGCCCAGCATCTGGCCCAGAGGACCACGACATTCGCCAACCGACGCAAAAACAAGATAACAGCCACCAGCAGCGACCCCCTTCCCAACCAGCCACCTGCAGCGGTACAAACACTCTGCCGACCGCCAACCTCTTCACGCGAGGACTCGCCCTCACGATCGACAGCAGGCCATTCAACCAGCAAATGCGGAACACCCTGCTGGCTCAGCACACGTTCCCGACATCCCTGGTGGAAGGCACGCCACCACCGCGACCACCAACGACAAAGGCCATGCTCACCGACCAAAATACGCCCAGCAGCGACGTCTACCTACTCGACACGAGATATCCAGAACTGCACTCGGACACGAATGCCATCATGGACCAGGAACGAGAATGAGGACTGCCCCTCCTACAACATGGACGACATCAAAACGGACGCTGACCCAACGGCCAGCTCAGCCAGCAGCGGTACCAAACCTACACCCACGTGAACCGCATCCGAAGCGGACAACCCCACCGCGTCCATGCCGACAACGTGATCGACCACAACACGACACCCATCTCACGTGGCTCTACCCAGTTAGAGCATACCACCTACTCCAGACTTCGTAATAAAAGGGAGGGGGTCTGGACCCTCCAAGACAAGCCATTTCAGACCCCCCCCCGTGGGAGAACCCTTCAAAACATCGTCCCCAGACCCCCCCAGGCCCTCCAAGATAGCCTGGAAGAGACCCCCCCCGAAATGAGACCCCCTCCCTTTTATTACGAAATCTGGAGTACCTACCGATTTGCTCTAAGGCAGCGCAACGCGCCACCAGTTGTCCCATCATCGACTCCCGACCTCTGCACTACTCTTTACCCAAACCGCCGCACTCACTGACCCGACAGCAGCAACTGGACGCTCCTACGGTTCACACTGCGTCCCACTGGCAGCTCGACAGAACCACTCGGCAGCACCGGCACACGGCGACAGCGGCAACCTCAGGAGCGGCGACGATAGTGGGTCAGCAGTGGCTTTCTCACCCACACTCATCCAACGCGCCATATGCAACTACGGCGGCTACATCCACAATAGGCTATGCTATGCAGTGGGTCTACGGTCAGACAGGGCTCCCAAACGCGCCGTGGCTTTCTCACCCACGAATGCTATTTACTCGACGCACTGCGAGAGCGCAAGCCACATCTGTCCGCATGTGCGGCACAACCTATTTCCAGGCCGGTGGGTAGAGCTCTCTCATGCACCTCCTTGGTGGTGGCCTTACTAGCTGCGAGCTGGGGCCTCGAAGGTGACAACACGAAGAGCCTGTTTGCACTGGTCCTGAGAGGGCCTCCTTACCAACCTTCAGTCACTTCTGGCTACGCCTGCCTTTAGCCGCCACCCCCGCCGCTAACCTTCCCTCCCTGCTCCTGTGGTTGCGGGACTGGGTGGAGCTTCGGAGGGAGATTGAAAGAGCACGAATACGTTGACTGACCTGGCGAAGGCCTGGGCAGCCATAGCAACAGCAGCGAGTGCCTACACCGTGCACACGCGTTGTCTTACTCTTTTGCCTCACCCACGCCCGCAGCACCGCCACCTATCTCAGCACTTTCTCTTCGCACGCTCGCAGCCTCACAGACCAGCCACACGTTACTCCTCGCCCCCACTGCTGCGCGCGAGCAGTCACACTGTATACGAGTAAGGGTATCGATGGGGGGGCTCGCCGAACAAGGACGCCGCCACTGGATGGCGCAAACCTCCTACCACCCCGTGGAAAACACTGAGAGGCACCCAGGTCGGCCCTTGGTACCCTTCGCCTGCCTCGGCAAATGAGGGTACCGGGCTTCGCACTGGGGATCACCTGCGCACCCGCACTTTTAACCACCCGCACCGTGCCGACACCAGCCCAACCTAGCGCACCCGATCTCAGCAGCTCGCCAACCCATCGCACCCGTGCCCCATTAACTCAGCCTAGCGCCATACTCTTGCACCCCGCCAACCGTGAAGGGGAGTTGGTCACATGGGTGGGTGGAGGGGGTTCGATTACTACATGGCCACCGCCCTAGAACGCGCTAACCTCCCCCACACCAGGTGGAACCCTCACGGAGGCCACCACTTCACCTCTCGGGAAACCTGCGCCTGCTGTGCAGGTGGGGTCCCCGTCGTCGAACTGGCGGCCCCCCTACGGGGTCCCTATGGGTAGGGATGAAGCCTTTGCACCTTCCCACCTTTGGCAGGCGTGGCTGCGACCTGCCGCGCTCGCCGCACTGCACAACTGCCGCTTACCGTCTTTCACTGCCGCCACCGACCACAGCCACCGCCAGCTGCCAGTTTTCCAACTCCCTCCCTTCTCCCTCGTGAGGCTATCGCATGATATGCCCTCTTCTCCTTCGTTCTCCCCCCAGGACACTGGGGGACTTGGCTACCCCGCCCTTTGGGTGGTCTGACGGTACGCTTTCCCCTTTTATTTGAGACAGCTTTAATTTGATCCCTCCCAGGGGCACAGGCCCCATGGGAGTGGGCGATGGCAGCTCCTGAGCGAACCCCGTGCCACCAGCTACGAGGAGGAGGGGGAGGAGGGGGAGGCGGAGGACGAGGAGGGCGAGGAGGACGAGGAGGAGGAGGAGGAGGATGATAATAAGGAGGATGAGGAAGATGAGGAGGAGGAGGAGGAGGACGAAAAGGAGGATGAGGAGGAAGGAAAAGGAGGAGGCGGAGGAGGAGGAGGAGGAGGAGGAGGAGGAGGAGGGGGGAGGGGGGGTCGATCCTGGAGGGGGCCCAGGCCTTGTCGCCGTCACCTGCCTCCGCGGCCAGGCGCTGCCACACGGCGCCGCCCCACGGCGTGGGCGAGTCGGCGCACTGCGGCCACGGGCAACCCGCGGCGCAGGGGAACGGGTGCTGCAGCTGGCCCTCTCGCGGGTTCCAGGCAACGGGGAAGGAGAGACGAGGGACGGAGAAGGAATGGGGAAGGCGAGGGCGAGTGAGAGGGAGAACGAACCGGTCTCCTCTGATGGATCGGTGTCTCCTCGCGTCTGGGCTCAGCCTGACTTGGCCTCTGAGAGGTTCAAGCACGACCCCTCGCGCCCTGAAGGGCCCCGAACCTTGCGCCAGCGGGGGTGGAGAGGGAGAGGGAGAGGGAGAGGCTGGGCCCGTGGCCGCCAGGGAGAAGGAGGAGGAGGAGGAGGAGGAGGAGGAGGAGGAGGAGGAGGAGGAGGAGGAGGAGGAGCGCGGCGCCAGGGAGAGGGGGAGGCGAGGGACCCCGCGACTCAGTCAACTGAAGGGGGTCCGCTTCGGGGCGGCTCCCGAGAGGCAGCCAGCCAGCCAGTGCGGGCCCCCGCAGCTCCAGGCTCAACGAAACTGCGGGAGGTCCGCCGGTGGCCGCCAGGGGGCGGCTTCCCGAGGCCACGCGGACCTCCCGTGCTTGTTGGAGCCACTTGCGGGAGGCTCGTGCTGGCGGCCAAGCAGGGCCTCCCGAGGCCAATGCGGACATTGGCCGCCCAAGGAGCACCCCCCGAAGCAGGTTCGGGCCTTCCGCAACTCGGCCCACCAGGGGAGAGCCTCCGTACTCCCGTGGCCAATTACGGGAGGTGCGCATCGGCCACCAGGGGAAGGCCTGCGAGGATCACTGCTGACCTCCCGCAAGAAAAAACACAATGGGAGGGCCTACGTACACCCATTGCCAATTACGGAAGACAGGAGAAAGGAGGATGAGGAGGATGAGGAGGAGGAGGAGGAGGAGGAGGAGGAGGAGGAGGAGGAGGAGGAGTACGAGGAGGAGCAAGAGGGAGGAGAAGGAGGAGGAGGAGGAGAAGGAGGAGGAGGAGGAGGAGGAGGAGAAGAAGAGGTTGAGCAGAAGGACGAGGAGGAGCGATGGAGAGCAGGAGCAGGAGCCAGAGGTGGGAGAGGAAGAGCAGGACGAGGCAGATGAGGAGGATTATGATGATGAGAAGGAAGAGGAGGAGAAGGAAGAGGAGGAGGAGGAGCAGAAGGATGAGGATGATGGGCAGGACGGGCAGGAGGAGAGGATCGAAGAGTAGAAGTTTGTTAGGGGACAGCTCGTGACTACGGCGAAATTCAAAAAAAAATCGCGATGGCCGATGATGAGTTCAACATCCCATGAGTTGCACATGACAAATCGCTTTCGAGGTTCGAGAATACAAAATGAGGTTGGCCGAGAATCACATATTGATCCGGCACGTCCTCCATCCGTGTAAAGATTGGGCGATGCTAGGACGAAGGTGCGTGGCGCTTAGGTCAGGACTATATTTTAACTACGACCTGCCCTCCTTTGTTACCATCGTTGGATACTTCAAGCCTGAACAGTGAGGAACGCTCAGGCAAAACGTTTACCGACTGATCTGGTGGTGCGGGAGGAGTTACTTCAAAGTAAATGGATGGAGCCAAAGGAACAACAGGATGAAGGAGACGAGGCGGCGGAGGAGGAGGACCATGACAACGTGCACGGGGGAGGAAGGACGAGGACGGATGAGAACGAAGAGGAGGAGGAGGAGGAGGAGGAGGAGGAGGAGGAGGAGGAGGAGGAGGGGGCGAAAGAGGAGGGGGGGCCAGGATCAGGAGATGATGGCGCCAAACTCACACCGACAATGCAGCAAAACTATCCGCCGATGATAACAACGAACACGACTGGGCAACCACGAAACATACGAGTGATTTGAGCGTCGTCGCGGTAAATCTCGGGGCGTGTTTAAGGAGACCACCCCTCTCTGCTGGCAAGTGGGAGCCCCGTCCCTCGTCTCCGCAGCAGGCTCCTACATGCATCACCACGAGGCCTGGCCCGGCCAGGGCCCGAGATGGCCCTGGCCAGGCGTGGTGGTGGTGCGTAGGATCCTTCTGCGTGTCGGTTGTTGTTGGCCCTCGATCCAGAATGTGGACACTCCCAGCGCAGGGGGGGGCCGGCGGCAAGTCCACCGGCGCGAACGGACTCTCGCAGGGGCTGCCCGCGAAGACGACGCCGCAGCGCCCAACCGCCTCTGCGGAGGGCGAGGGCGCCCGATCCGTCGCCGCTTGCGCGCCTGCGGCGCCGTCGTCAGCGAGGGCCGCAGGACCACGCGCGCCGCGGCTGGGCCGGGACTGGGCCGCGGCGCGGGGCGCCGGGCGGCCGCCCTCTGCGGACGGCGTCGGGCACGGGGGCGCCGGTGCCGGCGAGGGGGAGGCGGTGCGGACCGCCGCCGCCTGGGGGCGGTCCCAGCCGCCGCGCGGGCAGCCGGACGAGCAGCTCCGGCGGCCCGCGGCGGGGTAGGGGCCATCCTGGCCGTCTCCCTCCTCCGGATGGGGGGGAAGTATAGGGCGGGAGCTATCGACTGATAACCCGATCCTGGCCAGGCCCCGCCTGGGTACAAGATCGATGTACATGCCATCCTGGCTTGGCCTGGCGTATTGTGCATGAACTACGTGCGTGTATGTGTGAACGGATGAATAAATAAACTACCCCAATGCAACCCTACCTAGAAGTTGGAACCCCTAGGAAAGCAGCATTGGTTGCTATGCTATGCTATGCTATGCCATGCTATGCTGGGCTATGCTATGCTATGCTATGATATGCTATGCTATGCTCTGCTATGCTGCGCTATGCTATGCTATGCTATGATATGTTATGATATGCTATGCTATGCTATGCTATGCTGCGCTATGCTATGCTATGCTATGTCATGCAACGCTGTGCTGTGCAAAGCTATGCTATGGTATGATATGCTATGCTAAGCTGCGCTATGCTATGATATGCTATGCTACGCTATGCTATGCTATGATATGCGATGCTAAAGCTCAGCGAAGCTAAGATGAAGGTAAGCTAAGCTAAGATAAACCTAAGCTAAGATGAAGCTAAGCTAAGCTAAGATGAAATTAGCTAAGCTAAGATGAGATAAGCAACGCTAAGCTAAGGGGACGTAACTGGGGGAACCGCGGGGCGGATACCGGGGGAACCGCCCGGGGCGAGCCCCACTGCCCGGCCCCTTTAAACCCAGAGAGTAAGAACCCTTCTAGGCAGAGCCTAGGTAGGGAATGAATGAATGAATAAATTCGTGAATGTGGTTATGAATGTATGTACGCATGCATGTATGAATGTACGTATGCATGTACGCGTGCATGTGTTTATGCTGGTATGTACGTATGTATGTATGTATGCATGGATGGATGCGTACATACATACATAGATGCATGCATGCATGTGTGTATGCATGTCAGTGTGTAAGTATGTTTGTGTGCCGGTATGCATGCATGAATGCTGCGTGGATGCTCGTATGTAAGGATGTGTGTATGTATGTAGGTATATATGACGCGTGTATGTATGTTTGCATGTATGTCTGTATGTATGTTCGTGTGTATGCATGCATGCATGCTGCATGTATGTATGCATGGGTAGAACAATTGACTGATACGTGTGTGCATGGATCGTTGGATCGATTGATGGATGGATGTGTTTATGTGCGTACGCATGTATCTATGTTGGTATGTCGGTATGTATGTACGTATGTACGTCTGTACGTACTTACGTATGCACATAGGTACGTAAGTTTAAAGTTATGTATGTATGTCTGCGTGCATGAATGCATGTATGTATGGTTGTAGATGCGTGCGCCTGTGTGGTTGCACGTATGTATGTGTGCATGCAAAGGTATGCATGTATGTGTATGGGCATGTAAGTATATGTAAGTATGTATAGCTATGTATGTGTACGCCTGTGTGAATGCATGTATGTTGCGATGTTTGCATGTATAATTATGTATGTATGTGTGATGGTATGTGTGCATGTAGTTCCGCATACATGTACGAATGTGTGTATGTATGCCTGCATGTATTGGTGTTGCATGTATGTAAGCATGTGTGTGCAATAATGTCTGCATGTATATATGTTGTACATATGCATGTATGTATGTATGATTGTGTGTACATGCGTACGTACGTACGTATGTCAGTATGTATGTGTATGTGTGTATGAGCGTGCGCATGTAAATGTGAAAGTGTATGCATATGTATGTGTATGTATGAATGTTTGTATGTCTGTGTTCATGTATGTATATGTATATTCTCCGGGAGGAAAGGAGATGGGGAGCGCGTGATCACTGAACCACATTACGGCGTGACTGGCACAGTGGCGTGAAGCAGAAGACCGCCAGGCAAACTGGGACCGCTACACGAGCTGACCTGCCATAGGCAAGCTCATGCGATAGTCTGTGACCTGAGAGACACGAATGGCGATGCATGTATGTATGTGTGTATATATACGCACAAATCTGTACATACATATACATGTGTATATATATATATATATAAATATCGGACTGCATTAGCGCTTCGCGCCGTGCACCTAGACCTTTGAAGCTTGGCATGCAGGCAGAAGGGCAGCATGTAGCAATAACTCCTTTCTGTGGTTTCCGACATCGTCGTGATAATAATGTTACACGTCGTACTTTCCTTATGTTTCCTCTTCGTATTCTTTATTTTCGCCATACCCTGCGAATTCTTCCCCATCCTCCTCAGCACTTTCTGCGGAGGTTCCTCCTTGGGGGTCCTCTTGGGGGGCTCACTAAGGCTTCTTAAGGCCTTCTGGAAGCCCCCTGGGCGTCTTCTGGGGGCCTCAGGGTGCTTGCTCGAGCCACCCTGCTTCCAACCGCGGTCTCCCTGAACGACCGGAGCACGACTTGGAATGCTTCGAAGGGCGTCTTCGGGACCTGTTGTGCCGTCTTGGAGTTCTCTTGGACTGCATAAACGCCCTTATGGAAAATTCTGAAGCGAATTTCGGGCCGAATGGGCGGGCCGAATGGGCGGTTTCGGACTCCTGGAAGATGGAAGAACAGAGCATTCCCCAAACCACAGGAACGCCTATGGGAAATCATTCTTTGTCTGCGTTTCGTAAGCGTCTTGGAGATCTTCTTTGGGCCGTCTTCGGGCGTCTGGTGGGTGTCTGGGGTCTCTTGGGGCTCTGGTGGGGCCGTTCGGCCGCCCTCCTGACCGATTTGGGACCGTTGCCTAAGCCAAGCAGGGGCGCCCAGGAGTCCTCGAAAGCCTGGGGGACCCGCTGCAGCGGAGCGCCCAGCAGGGGGCCCCCAGGGCCACGGATCTGGGGGGATCCCGTTTCGGGGGGGGAGGGGGGAGGAAGGGGGGGGGATCCCGTTTCGGGGGGGGGGGGGGAGGAAGGGGGGGGGGGGGGGGCACAACCCCAGACTGGAAAAAAAATGGTGATCTGTCTCCTGGACCCGCCGCCCACTGGCCAGGCATGGCTATGCACCATCACTGCACACTACCCAGGATGGTGTGTGCGCCCGCCACCCTCCTGGCCGCCCTCCGAGCCTCGGTCAGGAGGGCACGGTGTACGCTGTGCCTTCTGCGTTCTTGGGCGTGGGCTCGGCAGCCACAAAATAGATCTCCAGACTTCTCCTGGGACGAGTTTTGCTTAGACTACAGCGGGGGCCAAGCCGTAGCGACGAGAAGCAGCCCAGAGGCCCACTGCGAGGAAACGAGCCTCCGAGCAGGGCTCCTCCAAGATCACCTCCACGAACGTGTTCTTGATGGTGGTGCGGTGGCGAGGCGGCTCCTGCGGGAGCCTTGCCGCGGGCGGCGCCGCGGAGCTGGAAGCCTTGGGGCCCTCGGCCTCTCGCGCGCGGCGTCGGGCGGGGCGAAAGTGGCGCCTCGTGGTGTGCGGCTGGCGCTGCTGCTCCTGAGGGCGGAGTCCTCCTGTCGATGCCGCTCTCCTCCTCCTCCTCCTCCTCCTCCTCCTCCTCCTCCTCCTCCTCCTCATCATCATCATCGTCCTCTTTCTCCTCATCCTCCCCAACACCTCCTTCTCATCATCACCACCACCACAATCATCATAATCATCCTTATCATCATCAACATCATCATCATCGCCGCCACCACCATCATCATCATACGCATCATCAACACCATCATCAGCATCATCATCATCATCATCATCATCATCATCATCAGCATCAGCATCAGCATCATCAGCATCATCATCATCATCATCAGCATCATCATCATCATCATCATCATCATCGTCATCATCATCATCATCATCATCATCATTATCATCAACATCGTCACCTCATCACCACAATCACATCCGCGACCATCACCGTCACCATCACCGTCACAGTCACCGTCACCGTCACCGTCGCCATCACCATCGTCACCACGTCACTAACACCATCACTGTCACCATCAATATCACCATTGCCGTCATCATAATCCGCTGACCTTGTCGGCGTGTGTGAGAGGCTTTGCCGTTTGAGTCGTCGTCGTCGTCGCTGTCACCGCTTCCCCTGTCCTTGTTCGTGTGCCCTCCTGTTCAAACGCTCCACCCAACCACAACTCGAGCAACGTCGTAATCGAACCGAAGGGAAGCCCCTTCCCCGCCGGGGGAGGGGTGGGGGCGAGGCGGGTGGGGGGGGGAGGCCAGGGGGACGGGGGGGGGTCATGGGGGGGGGTAGGGGATGGGGGTCCCGGTGGGGTTGTGACAGGCCCCTCCCCCCCGCCGTGACGGAGCACCCATCCCTTGCAGAAGCTTTCCCATTCGATTCTTTGCCTCCTAGACGCCTCCAACTCCCCCTTCAGGGTCAGCGGCACCGGCCGTAAGGCCTTCACATTGAGAGGCATCGCCATCGCCAGTATCATCATCATTCTGCCCATCCTCCACCTGATCCTCCTTCTCCTCTTCCTCCTCTCTCGTCCCAAGAGGCAGAGCACCCACGAGGCCTCCTGAGGCCACCTGCAGCTTCGTTCCAGAGGCCCCAAGAAACCTCCGCAGATCCAAGAAAGCTCAAACACCCGGGAATCCATCACACATCCGTCGTCCCCTGAGATGGCTCTCCCCTATCGAACCACCAGACGTGTCGTTAAGGCGGGCCTGGAATGTTGCCTTAGACCTGCCAAACCGTTTCACCTCGTTTTGAACTTTGGACTCTCGCATAGGCGCCGCGCACACTGGTCTTAAACAAATAAAGCAGCTACACGGATGGAGCACATGTCGTTTCCAAAGGTCTTTTTCGCCGTCGCGCTCCGAACACTGGGCAGAAATAACAACCAAGCAGTTACGTATATCTGAGGCGGGCGATTTACAAGCACATTCGCCCTCTTCTGAGACCTCCAGTGCGTTTACGGCACGGGCTCTTGTCTGGGAAATTATGCGACAGCTACGTAGCACCCCGCAGATGCCGATACAAGTGGGGGGGGGGCGGTGGGGACGTCGGCAGTCTGCGAGCCTCTGGAGAAGCCCGCCGCACGAGCCAGAGTTTCCCAAATTATACAACGAGCCCGCCGCAGGGGCCGATCTTTTCGAAACAATGGATCGGTCGCGGGTGGGTCGCAAGTGGGTCGCGGGTGGGTCTCGGGTGGGTCGCGGGTGGGTCGCGGGTGGGTCTCGGGTGGGTCGCGGGTGGGTCGCGGGGTGGGTCGCAGGTGGGTCGCGGGGCGGGTCGCAGGTGGGTCGCGGGTGGGTCGCGGGTGGGTCGCGGCGCGGGTTGCATCGCGGGTTAAGTCGCGGGGTGGGTCGCGGGGTGGTAGCCCTGAGAGGGAGGAAGTCTCGAGCAGGGCTGCTGTTGTTGCTGGGAGCGGCGCCAATGCTGAAGAGAGTAGGGCGGTAGTCCAGCGCAAAACAAAACGAAGTCTCGAGCGGGAGCGCTGGTTTTGTTGGGACCGCGGTTGTCGGCGGCGAGGAGGAACACCGCCTTGAGTAAGAAGGGAGGAAGTCTCGAGCGGGAGCCGTGGTTTTGTCGGGACAGGGACTGTCGGCGGCGAGGAACAGCACCGTCCAGAGGAAAAAGGGAGGAAGCCTCGAGCGGGAGCGTTGTTCTTGCTGGGAGCGGCGCCAATTCAAAAGAGAATACCCAGCGTAAAAAACGGGAAGAAGTCTCGGGCGGGAGGGCTGGTTTTGTCGGGACGGCGGTTTTCAGCGGCGAAGAGGAGCACCGCCTTGAGTAAAAAACTACGGAAGTCTCGAGCGGGAGCGTTGTTGTTGCTGGGGGCGGCGCCGATGAGAGAAAGAGTAGCGCGCCAGTCCAAGGTAAAACGAGAGGAAATCTCGAGCGGTAGCGCTGGTGTTGTTGGGACGGCGGCATTCGACGGCGAGCACGAGCACCGGCCCTGGGTAAAAAAAGAGGGAGTCTCGAGCGGGAGCGTTGTTGTTGTTTGGGGGCCAGTTTTGGCGCCCCCCAAACCGTTCGAGAATGACCCTCATTGCCAATGAAAATTTACACGGCGCCGAGGCGAGAGCGTCAAAGCGCCTGGGGGGGTCCAACAATAATTCGCCGGCCCCAGAGCGCTTCAGGGGACGGTCATTTTTCGACACCCCCTCACGAGGATCGTGGCCTCCGAGGGGGTAGCCGCAATCGACTACCACTTGTCCCGCCCCAAGAAGCCCCAAAGAGCCCCCCAAGAGGCCCTGGGGGCCCCCAAGACGCCGCCAAGAAGCCCCCAGAGACTCCCAAGAGGTCCCCAAGAGGCCCCCAAGAGGCCCTACAGAGGGCTCCCGGGCCGGCGGAATGAGCGAAGCGATTCAATAATAATAATGGTTTCATTACAAACATTCAACAACAACATAGACCTTAGCAGCAACAGCAATAACAACACCACCAACAACAACACCAACAACAATCATTTTAAGACTGAGCGCCCTTATATGCTCGAGTGTCCAATAACGCGTATTTCCCAAACCCTCGATACCCGCCCTCTTCGTCTTCGATCCAACCCCTTTTGGGGGGTATACCTTTCTTCCCTGCAGGCCGGGCCCCGGCAAGCGGCGGGGCGGCCGCGGACCGTCGGCCTGGCCAGCGGCAGCGCTGATCGGCGGGGCGGCCGCGGACCGTCGACCCGACCCCAAGAGGGACGGACAGGGGACCGACCACGACGACGACGACGACGACGACGACGACGTCGAAGACGACGGCGACGACGACGACGACGACGAGCGAAAGCGAGAGCGAGAGAGAACGACAGCAGGGCCAAGAAGGGCACGAAGTAGGCCACGAAGGGCGACAGCGGGGACACGAAGGGAATGCGTATGGGGCCACGAAGAGCGCGAACGAGCGAGGGCCACGAAGTGCAGATGATGCGGGGCCACAGAAGGCAACTATGGGGCCACTGGGGGTAGCAACTGGGCCACGTAGGACAGTGAGGGATCACAAATGGCGACAGTGGGGCCACGAAGGGCATGCACATGGGGCCACAACGGGCGCGACTCCTGGGTGCCTGGGTGTCGGGAGCGCGTCGCTTGAGCAAATTGCAAAGCATTCCAAGGCAAGGGCGCTATTCTTCTGTAAATCCCACCAGCCCTCTGGGCGTCGGTGGTTTAACGAGTTTCCTCTTCCACCCCTCCCTCTTCCCCTTCGGGGAGGGGTTTACCCCTCCCCCTACCCCCTCCCCACTGACCTGGACAGGGGGTTCCGCGGCGCGTTGGAGCGCCCAAGATCGACCCCTGGGAGGGCTAAAATTCGACACCCCTCACGAGGATCGTGGCTCCTGAGGGGGGGGGCTGTAATTAGGGAACCCCCCTTCGTTGATCGATCTCCTCCAAGATGGCTCCGAGGCCCCCCAAGAGGCCCCCAGGAGGCCCCCAAGAGACCCCCAAGAGGCCCCAAGAGACCCCCCAGAGGCACCCAAGAAGCGCCCAGGAGGCCCCAAGAAGCGCCCAGGAGGCCCCCAAAGGCCCCAAGATGGCCCCAAGAGGCCCCAAGAGGCCCCCAGGAGGCCCCAAAGAGGATCCCGAACGGCCCACAGAGGCCCCCCCGAGGCACCCAAGACGCCGAAAAGCCCCTCAGGACGACCCTCTACTCGCCTGGGCGTCGTTTCTGGACGGGCTGGTGGGGATACGCGAAGCGTCTAGAATTGCAAGCAAATCTCCAGCGAGAGCGCGACTCCAGAGCGCCGGGAGAGCGATTCCTCAAGAAATCGTAAGGAAGTCCAAAACGAGAGCGCGATTCCTGAATAAATGCGAGGAAGTCTCGGGCGGGAGCGGGGGTCCTGGCTCTAAATTGTAAGGAAGTCTCAAGCGGGAGCCGTTGTTGTTGTAACCCGGGGGCCAGGGGCTCAGTTTGAGCATCAAGACCTTCCCTGTCAAAAAACAGGGTGCGAGCGTCGAGGAGCACACTTTGCTTGTGAAAAACAGTATGCACCGGTGGGGGGATCAACAATCTTCAGAAATGAGAATTCGACGGCAACAACAACAACAACAATCATTTAAGACTGGGGACACTCCGTTCTCACCAGTGCCAGGGTTTTCATAGGAGGCGGGCAATACCCCCACTTTGTGGGGGGGCCGGTTCAAGCTCTACCAAATTTCCAAACGACTCTTCGCCACCACCCACACCCAGCTTCCCGCCCTATGACGTTCGGACACTTCACTTCGTGGCATGCGGACGACCGTGGCTACTATTCAGGGCCCCGCGGCCGACGACGACGGCGTGCGCGCGCGAAGAAAAAACGAATGTGTCCCGCATGGTATTATTTGACAGGGATGATGGCCCTGGCAGGTGCGCAACCGTTGTCGCAGAAGTTCGAAAAAGTTGCTCGCAAAAGCCCGTTTGACAGAAATGTTTAAAAAGTGTTGGGTTTCCTACGAATCCGCAAGAGCGCGCGGGATGAGATTTTGACATTTTTTTGTTGAAAAACCATTGGTTTTTTGATGTTTTTATGTTAAAATCGCTCCGAACACTAAGCTTT